ACTACCAATTATAAAACCTCATCTTTTTACAAAACATATATCAAAATTCATTTAACAAGTGTATATCTTTTAAAAAATCAATGATTAAATTATAATTAACATTACTAAAAAGGTCCTTTACTGTTTTGACATTAAGATATCTATCCCTTATGATGGAGAATTCAACATTGACTTCAGTCGTTTCCTGAATACAGCACCTATACCGAGGTTAACAAGGACGTCTACACGCAGGTCAACGTGCTACTGTCATCGCCAATGACTTCAATTGTTTTGTAAGAGTGATCCATTTCTCCATTACCCGCTTTCTATCCCATCTATATACGACGTTTCTATGCCTTTCAGTATACATAGGTTTCACTCAATATATAGGAAATACTGTGTGATGCTTTACCTAATTTGTCATACATAATATATTATGTACCTTGTTTCACTTTGTTGCCGTGTGAGATATCTGATTGCAGTCTGTAATCACATTATGAAACGTTAGGAGAGGTCATGAAACACAACTTTTCACTGACGTAGAATAGCTTCCCGTTGCAAGTACTGTAGTGAGTGGAGCAATGTGTTGACGTGCTAAAGGTGAACTCTGACAAAGTTGAACTATTTAGGCACTTGTCTGCTGCGCTATCTAGCAGTTACGCCACTGTCTAAAAGGAAATTTGAATCTTGACTTATATTGACAACACACGGAGACTGGACCTCAATATATTTATTCAAAGAAAAATTGCAATATTTAGAGACCGTGTGTCGGAGATGTAGCCCAGCGGATAAGTGATCAAATTGTGCACTTTGTGTTACAAGCATGAAATTTGGCATGATTGTAGCTTATACCATTCTTATTAAATAAAGATCGAGAGGCCTCGCAGATTTTGTATATTTTTCATATTTTGGGGAAAAAGTGAAAAATGATAATTTTTTCTACTATTTTAATCATAACTTTTTCTAATATTCTCCAATTCTCAAACATCATATATCAAATTGTAGAAAATTCATAGCTGATCATTTTCCGTATATACATGTCTTGTCTATCTTTAATGGTTAGGTCTATGGAAGTCAATTTATATCATGATAACCCGAAAAAAGGAAATTTGACGGACATTTTTCAAAATGGCCACCATATAGACTACAACAGTGAAATAAGTATGAGATCATCCCATGATCTAACATTTTTTTATCATTTCTTTGCAAATTCAAAACGAGAAGCCTCGCAGATTTTGGCCATTTTTCATTTTTGGGGAAAATAGGGGGAGAAAAAATGAATTTTCCGAAAAATGTTATCTCAACTCAATTTTAAATCCTAATAAATTATGTATCAAGAATATTGCGAGAACAGATGAAAGTTTATTTGAAGGGATATTTCAGAAGATTTACATTTATCATCCAAAACTGTGTTCCACAGGAGATGACCGCCTCCGTGGTGTAGTGGTTAGAGCGTCCGCCCGAAGAGTGGAACGTCGCGGGTTCGATCCCCGACCGCGTCATACCAAAAGGCATTAAAATATGGTACTTGTTGGTCCCTGCCAGGCGCTCGGCATTAATGGGTACAACAAGGACTGGTTGGCTCGGAGTCAGTATAATGTGTCTGAGTGGGGTATTCATGCTTCACTGCGGCATGGTATCTCAGTGGGCTAGCACTATAAAACTAGCTTCAGTCTGGGCTAGTACAAGCAGCCGCACATACACAAACACACGCATGCACGTCGTCATAGGAGCGAAACATTCTCAAGCACAACGTTAAACCCAATTTCACCTCACCTCACCTCCACAGGAGATATCGCTTGTGTGAGATCATATGATATCTCCTAGGAGATATCGTTTTGACAGTACAATGCTCTGATTTTGTACAATGCTCTGACAATGCTATGACGTCATGAACTGATGACGTCACAATCCTATGACATCGCTGCACTGCAAGTCTATCGGTAGTACAGTGTTGAGCGATTTACAGTTTTCATTGAAAAGTTATGAAGGATGATTTTTTTATGATAAATAGAATCTCACCCTCGTGTCTACTGACATCAATTATATCAACACTCGTTGATAAAGGTAAAAATAAAATTTGTACCTTTATCAAATCGTGTTGATATGATTGATATCAGTAGACACTTGGGTGAGATTCTCTATGTATAATGTACGAGTTTGGTTGCCTATAGATCACCTATAAAAAACATATCAAATTCAACGCAAACATGTTTGATTTCAACATCAATGTCAACGTAGCTATATTCAACAATCTGTGGCAGGTTACTCAATTATGTCTTGAGTGGAATTGTATCTAGCTTGACTGAATTAGAAAATCAATTAGTCTCTTCCACATTTGCACAATGTAGTGCACTTTAGAGCTGCTCTTACATACTTGGGCCGGTTTGAACATTTTTTTACACATTATTTATTATTATTAGCATATTATAGGATATTTGTATAGCAAAAAGTTCTTTCTTGTTGGCATCACACCTCATAAAACTTGTCAGTTCTGAGGAACACATGAATTGGCTTCCACTCGTCGTCCTTTTGCACTTCCTCTTTTGTTCTTGCACTGGATTTTACGTTGCGTGTTGATATTTGTCCCAAACAACATACATTCTCTGATTGGAGTTCAGAGGTGTATGCAAGTATTTCAAGAACACATTATAAAATATCCATATTTGAGCTGCGGGTTTTAGCATGTTTATTACTGCGACTCCATCAAGGATTGATACGTCAACATCTGGTTTTGAGTCAGTTTGTGGTGAAATATCTTCAGAGCAATTGAGAAGAGCTGATTTTGTGCATGGACGTAGAGAACCTTGATGAGATATAGATGGTACGCAAGAGTGATATTCATGTCTGAAAAAGTCATTCAGGTTTCCATCCCTTGACTCGTCTGTATATATCTTGTCTTTATGGAAGAAATTTTACATTCATACTGTTGACACAAATGTGGTTGTGTTGGCCATAGCTGCAACAGGCGCTCTCGACCCCTACCAATGTTTCACAGCTTCACAGGAAGTGACAGTGTGTCATCCTTTGGTAGAATTGGAAAGCAGACCTCGTGGAATGGATGGAACGCGTTTACTGAAATTTCAGGCACCTTTATTTCCCTCGCTCGTCCACCACTTGAAATCACTAATGCACAGATTCATCAGCTTGAGAGATTTGTTGTGCTGCTGACAGAGCAAGCAACCACATGGAAGTGAATGAAGCAAGGAAGCATTTGTTCCCCACGATGGGGAGAACATTGAACAATATACCCCCAACAGAATCAGCTTTGATCCAACATATAGAGAGCTGTATATCCGGGGGCATATGTTTGGGGGCAATCCCTGATGAAATCACAGGAGTTACAAAGCCCTCTGGATAGGGGCTGGCAATAACTTTCTCAGGGAGAGCTTGTACCTCTATTTTCAAGTCTTCTGAAGGCATCAAAGAGCTGCCAGGAATTGCTGAAATGCATTGTGGGCGAGCGGGGAGCATGGTGGGCGAGCTGTCTTAGGCACCAGGCTAGTGATCCAGCAAGCTTGCCGGGATCGAGCCCACCTGTAACCAGCTGTAAAAACCTAGGAGTCAACTTTCTGTGCAGACTCTTTAAGTGTTGTCACAACCCCTAGTGTACAGTACACAACCCGGTGCACTTAAAAGAACCCATGAATCTGTTGGTAAATGACAAGATGGCGGCCACATGAATACGTCCAAATACCTAGTTGCGGGTACAGCAACGTGCAGTAAACCTGTACAAGGTGCTGTGACTATGTGTCCCAGTCCACCAAGCTGTGAATGGGTCCCTCGTAAGGATGGGAAAGCCGCAATAACTTGGTGCGCCGAGTGGCTGCAAGAGTTGAGATTGGTAATACAATGTGCCGTTGAGATTGACATCCAATGATCAAGGGGGAAAAAACCAAGCGCCTTGAGCATGTATCAGTTTCTTGATATGTACGTTATATAAATATCCTATAATATAATAATAATAATGATAAATACTGTGTAAAAAATGTTCAAACCGGTCCAAAGCAGCTCTAAAGTGCACTGCACTGTGCAAATGTGGAGGAGACGATTTTCTAATTCAGTCAAGCTAGATACAATTCCACTCAAGACATAAATGAGTAACCTGCCACAGAATGTTGAAATAGCTACTTTGGCATTGATGTTGAAATCGAACATGTTTGCGTTGATTTTGATATGGTTTTTATAAGTGATCCATAGGCAACCAACCTCATACATTATACATGTAAGTAAATCTTCTGATATACTCATGCCAATAATGGTTGTCACCCCCTTCAATTGTTTTAATTGGAGAGGGTGTGTGGGCTGGGGGTGTGAGGTGTGTGTGGGGTTGGAGTGGGGAGGGGGTGACAACCATTATTGGCATGAGTATATATTCCTTCAAAAACTTTCATCTGTTCTCGCAATATTCTTAATACATAATTTATTAGGATTTGGAAATCTATGACTTACTTAAGGTAAAATATGTTGAAAAATTACACCCCACCACCCACCCCCCTCCCCCCTTCTGTAAAATGGCCAAAATCTGCGAGGCTTTTCGTTTTGAATTTTCAAAGAAATAATAAAAAAATGTTAGATCATGGGATGATCTCATACTTATTTTACTGTTGTAGTCGATATGGCGGCCATTTTGAAAAATGTCCGTCAATTTTCCCTTTTTCGGGTTGTCATGATATAAATTAACTTCCATAGACCTAACCATTAAAGATAGAGAAGACATGTATATATGGAAAATAATCAGCTATGAATTGTCTACAATTTGATATATGATGTTGGAGAATTGGAGAATTTAAAAAAAGTTATGATTAAAATAGTAGAAAAAATTATCATTTTTCACTTTTTTCCCCAAAATATGAAAAATATACAAAATCTGCGAGGCCTCTCGATCTTTATTTAATAAGAATGGTATAAGCTACAATCATGCCAGATTTCATGCTTGTAACACAAAGTGCACAATTCAGTGAAAAAACTGCACTTATCCGCTGGGCTACAAGGTAACATGGACAGTTGCTGTCCTGGCGATGTCAGCGTATATGTCCTACAACATAACAAAGGAGCTGATGGACTTCTACAGATACCCAGTCATCACCAACACAAAAGTCGACGTGCTTGAGGAAGTGCCCTTCCCTGCCGTCACCTTCTGCAATCAGAGTCCGTATAACATGAGCAAAGTAAGAGCAGCAGATCCTTATCTTGAGGAATTCTTCAAGAATGTCAGCGTGTTGGGTGGTTTCAGAGGACCCGTAAACTGGAACGACCCTGTACTTAATCGGCCTACCTTTCGAGAGAGTAAGTCACTTGACTGGTGGAAACAGATACACATTGACCCAAACGAGATGCTAAGTATTTGTATGATGAATGGTGTTTCGTATGAACCATGCCGGTCGGTGATGAAGCCTGTGTTAACCACCTTGGGCTATTGTGCCACTTTCAACTGGAATGCTTCTGATGTAACTACAGTGCGAGTAGCTGGTTCAGATAACAATCTTCACATTTTTGTGAAAGTCGATCAGATCAACTATGTGCTTGGTTCTCAACTTTCATCCGGAATAAAGGTACGTTGGACATGGTATGGGGGAAAATGACTAAAGTATATCTCGTGAATCATTTCATTTCAACACTGATAAACTGTAGGCTAAGATATGAATATACCATGTAGTTATGAAGATTCTGATGTCAAGGATTGATTATCATCAGTTGTCAAAGGACAAATATGAATATTATCTAAAGGTATAACCATTGATTTGGTAGTGATGATTAAGGTAGGGTTTGTTTTTTTGGACAATCAATGAGTTTTTTTCAATGGTGAAAGGTAATCCTGCACGATCCTCGTATCCACCCAGACGTAGCGGGAACCTCCTTCCTGGCAGCTCCGGGTACAACAACTAATGCTGTTATTCAGAGATCAACGGTACGCCCTAGATTAGCATATGTCTTCCAACGTCCCAGCTGTTTATACGGTCGAAACTCCTGACAAACCTAATTTGTTGCTTAATCTTTCTGGTGAGAGACTTGGTTTCTTTCAACCCAATTTTATACAATGTCGTTATTAGGTCTTAGTGTGTCTTTTGCATATGTATGGGCAGGATCGATTTTGTGGTTTCATGTTAATGAAGAATTGCTGTTCAATAAATCATACGTATATATTTATGCTCGAAGTCTTCACCATCACAGTGTTTCAATCGACAGGCTTTAGATCTCCACGACTTAGCTGTTATTAGACCCTGGTGGTTAGCAAAACATTATAAAAAGAATGTAATTCATTTTATGTTACAGTACCAGTACTTACCCCCGCCCTATCAGGCTTTCAAGAATCGAACATGCGTGGATACATTGGATCCGTCATTTAACAACACCCTGGAGTACTTTGACACATACACATACGAAAACTGTCTTCGGGAGTGTATGACAGGGATAACATACAAAATATGTGATTGTGTCTCAATGTCCGATAATCGTAAGCTCATAAGTCATAAGAATTACAAATCAAACTCAAAATTGCCTAGGTATCTGTGGTTACATAACCACATCTGATATTCTTCTCTTTTCCAGTTGCTCTATTTACATCAGTACATTTGTAAGCTAAAACTTAAAGAAACAAAAACAACTAAATAATGTTATAATCAGTAAAATACACATGCAGCATGTTTTTTCTGCATGCATAATATTAATTGATGGTCTGACTTTTGTTAAGTTTTCAATCGTGTTTATCTATATTTCTAGGAGCCATCGGACAACATTGTTCTATTTATAACCTGACGAAATGCTATTCTCCGACATATGGTATGTACGAAACATATATCCTATATAGCATATGTCATTTATTATCTGCTGTTGACGATATGGGCATGGATAAGGGAAAATCGAGAATAACTTTTACATGTTTACATAATATGTTTTATTCATAGTTTTTGTTAGTTGTTTGTTTGTTTTTTGGTTGCTTATTGGTGTTTAATGGTTATATACACCAGCTTTCATTGTTTGCAAAAGTACGATTTCGTTGCACAGTCAGTTCCAATGTTAAAAATGTCGCCTCTGAAAAAATAACTGTGTTGCCGTTTTCACAGCCTCTTTACAACGTTTTACTAAATGAAATGAGATATGAGACACATACGTGTATAGATAATCACATCATTAGTTGTTTGTTTGTTTTTTGGTCGCTTATTGATGTTTAATGGTTATATACACCAGCTTTCATTGTTTGCAAAAGAACCATTTCTTTGCACAGTCAGTTCCAATGTTAAAGATGTCGCCTCTGAAAAATAACTGTGTTGCCGTTTTCACAGCCTCTTTACACCGTTTTACTAAATGAAATGAGATATAAGACACATACGTATATAGATAATCACATCATTAGTTGTTTCTTTGTTTTGTGGTTGCTTATTGATTTTTAATGGTTATATACACCAGCTTTCATTGTTTGCAAAAGTACGATTTCGTTGCACAGTCAGTTCCAATGTTAAAAATGTCGCCACTGAAAAATAACTGTGTTGCCGTTTTCACAGCCTCTTTACAACGTTTTACTAAATGAAATGAGATATGAGACACATACTTATATTGATAATCACATCACCATATAGATAATAAATAAATGAAAATGACATTACTTTAAAATGGATATTGAAGCTATAAAATGAAATCTTGCAGTCATTAATTCGACGGTATGTTCTGAGCATTCTATTTGCATGTCTGAGCATTTTATATATATTCGACCCATGTTTTACACTGCTATTCTGTCATGTTAATCACTGCTGCCATATTTCATCTGATCAAGTGTGCGAAAACAATTGGGTATTTCTGGTCATATTGCAGGATATGTGATGAAGAATGCGACGATTCGGAAACTGTGTAAATGTCAACTACCCTGCTCGTCCGAGGCATATAATGTAAAGGTATCATCTTCAAAATACCCATCAGATGTCTCTGTTCGCATGCTTCTGGATCTTAACATGGCCCAAAATGAAGAATATATCACGTGAGTACATGTAAAAATATAGTAATCATAAAAACGAAGGTTTGATCTCACTCACTCACTCACTCACTCACTTCAGTTTGTGTCCTCGTGACCCAAATGCATCAATCGTTGTTCATGCACCCTGTTGGATCAATGATAATACAGTTTGTTTCAAGGAATTAAGACCTTTCGTTTCTGAAGATCTGAGACGATTTCAGAATTGTGGAGCTAGTCGAGCCTGAATGAATGTCCATCCCGGTATTGTCGCTCACAGAACAATAAGCAATGTTAGTGCGTCGTTCATAACTAGAAGGCTACACACGTGAAAACAACGCACCACAAACTCACTCAATAATATATGTTATTCACAGCTTAATTGTATTCTGTATAATATAAGTATATTGTTTTACGTTTCAAACGCTGCATGTTTCTATGCTGTTGGGCAGGTTTGGAAAGGATCGGATGATCATCGCTTTGAAAGCTTTTGCTATTGTAAAACAAAACCAGGTTCATGAACATTTCTGATATTGATCAAGAACTGAAACTGACAAACAATGAACAACAATTAAATTTTTTGACCCAGACATTGAGCTATCAGTATCTCAGTAACTCTTTACACAGCTAGGATTGGAACACTTGGCCATACTGGAGGAAACACACGGTGTACACATCAGAGCAGCTAATTCTACCGAATGTAGACTAGTGTTTTGAGCGATGCATTCACCCTGCATTATCACTAGCAGTGGGGTAGGTTTCATAAATCCCCATGCGATACTGAAATGCTACGTACCGAAGGAGTCTGATGGTTTTCATTCTGACGAATATATCTTAGTGCTGGTAATGCATTATGGCACTAATGAAATCAAATGATCTTGAGAAAAACAGGCGATGTTACGTCAGATAATTATACCAAATGATATTACTTTGATGAAATTTCGACTTAATGAAGTAAGTGGTAGTGTAGGAAGTCGTGAATATAGTGTAATAATCGTGTAATTATAGTCCAGGAAGCTTAGAATGATATCTAGTTTACACTGACATCTTGATGACTCATGTTTAGCTCTATATACTTTGGCAGTGTAATTAATAGTGCAATGATGGGGAGTATTGAAGCGTTGATTCTTACGTCATCTGTTGACACACGTGTGTCTCGTTCAAAGATCTATGACGGCAGATATGGCTGAAATATTGCCGATGTGACGTTAAATAATAACTCACTCACTCACTCACTCACTATGACGACAGATCAGAATGTACGTTGTAGTTTATATTTGCCGTCGTTAGGCAAACATAAAGACTTTGTCTCACACCTTTCGAATGTTTTGAGATAAGTTCATTAATTACAGCAAAGACAAATACTACCATTTCAAGAAAACCCTACCGTGAGCTCTGAATATAAATCAATGCAGTCTACACCTTGAATCCATTGTTGGATGGCAGCTTTGACAGGTTTCGCATTTGCCATTGTTAGAAAAAATGTAGTCCTTGTCAAAATACAATAGAGCACACTTTGATTCACAACGTTCGAGCGTTTTATGATAAACCTTTCCCAACTACCCACATGAATACTGTCATTTCAGAAAGAACTTTCTCGAGATAAGACTTTTCTATGAGGACCTGATCGTCCAGTCGACAGAGCAAAGTCCGAAGTATACAACGGAAACTCTCATTGGTGAGTTCACTCATGACATCCAGTGTTTCCAACAGAATTACTTACAAAGTTACATCAGGCAGGTACATATATGATGGTGTGACCCTTTTTTTAGCGTATTGTTTGACTGTGTTTGGACAGTGTGCAAGTCAACGTATGCCTTTTACGTCAATTTAATTGCGATAGACAGTCTTCCAATAAAAGTAATTTTAGCTCAACACATTGACGTCTTTATGTTGCCAGGAAACTTGGGAGGCCAAATGGGCATCTGTCTCGGAGCTAGTATCTTGACTGTCACAGAACTCGGAGAGTTCCTACTCATTGTCTGTCTGTCCATCTTCAGAAGATGTAAGCGCGGCGGCAAAGTCAAACAAATCAAACCTTTGAAGTACTGAAGAATATGCACGTCGTGTTAGTGGATGTTGATTTTGTCATTGACGACCGGATCGGATTCCCTTATATATCCTTTCGTTCTTTTCAATTCAATGTTTCAGTTTTGGTGTTGTTACCATCGAACATAATATATAAGATATGATATAGTTGCGCAGCTAAGAGCATGAAGATCGATAAAGTGACAAACTATGTTGGATGGTGTCAAGGCTTTGATTGTAATCTGTGGTTATAATAGATAACTAGTACATATAAAAGATATGATTGCTACAGAAAAGTTGAGGGCTGGCTGGTTGGATAAAAGAGGTATTAAGTTATGTTGCTGCTATTGTCAATCTTCGTCTGCATGTTGTAGAGACAGCAAGAGCTAGTAGCTTTTGTGATACTCCAAGGAATGCGTGATCCCAGGATTTCAAAGGTACACGGTCAGGAATTATTAGTCTTGCTCACAGGTCCAAGTGTGAATATCCATGCATCTTTCTATATCACTATATTTAATGCTTGTTCTAACAGTCGACTGAGATGTAATGGGGGTCATACTTGCTGTACCGTATGAAGTAGAGGTTTTGGACATTGTTTTGTCTGGTCAAATATAAAGATTAGTAATAATGGTGACATTAAAACAACAACACAAGAAATGAGACTGCTTACGGACACGGGGCAAAGGACGTGTAGAAATTATTCATGCATAAGCGATGCGAATTAATTTTGTATGTGTGTGTATTATTGTTTATAATTCCTCTCATTATTTTGAAAATGTTAAAAACTGTAGTTCATTACCACCTCATCCAACGACAGAAAACGATAGCAGTAGGTGATTGGATACGGTCAGATACGTTATATCTGAATGTTATTGTAAAAAACGGTTACCATGCAGAACCAAACAATATAAAAAACGGGCTCCTGATCGCCAGCAACTAATGGTCGATCACCATTCCAGGGACCATTTGAATATGCAGGACCTTTGCTGTACTCGGGGGCGCGGTGGGCGAGATGGCTCCAGTGCCAGGCTAGTGATCCAGCGAGGTTGAGGTGTCGGGGCCGAGCCCACCTGTGACCGGGTGTAAAAACCTTGGAGTCAACTTTGTGTGCAGACTTTTTCAGTGATGTCACAACCCCCCAGTGTACAGTACAGAACCCTGTGCACTTGAAAGAACCCACGAATCCGTTGGTATATGACTAGATGGTGTCCACATGAATAAGCGCAAACACCTAGTTGCGGTTACAGCAACGTGCAGTGAACTTGGACAAACTACTGTGACTATATGTCCCAGTCCACCCAGCTGTGAATGGGTTCCTCGTCAGGATGAGAAAGCCACAATAACTCGGTGCGTCTAGTGGCTGCAAGAGTTGGATACTCCACAGGGAGTTGAGATTAATAAAACGATGTGCCGTTGAGATTGACATCCAATGATAGAGGGAAAAAATACCAGCGCCTAGTTGCCTGGATATGTGCGCTATATAAATATCCTGTAATAATAATAATGATAATAATAATAATACAACAGCTGCATGTACACCAAACCATTTATGTAATGACGATATTGAGAAATGCAGCCGAACGTTGTAAAAACACATATTCGTCAAGGAAATAATGGCAGATATGTAAAATACTGTGAATGGCATGGTATTACACTCTCTCTCAGGGTGACAAAAATTTCACAATATTTCAATCCCAGTCGAGGCCACTGCTGTGACCAATAGCGGTTAATAGTCATATACTCCTAATTTATGCAATACGACAGTTTGTTCATGAACATTTAGAGCTACTTCATTTACAAAAACGACAACAAAACTCATAAAATGCGATGAGAATGACCTTTATTAAACAGGTACTATTGACATTGTAATATTTATCTATATCAATCAATACAGCAAAGCAGGACATGCTTGACTGTGATTTCTGTCATCGCAAGGGATACAAAACCGATAATAATATTTAATATATTGGTGTCATCGAAAAACCGTCTTTTGATTGGTTTGGTATCACATCTAGAAGTGGTTCATAGATTTGTTGAGTGCTGCCTTCGCTGCTGAATTAGCCGTTGTGTTACTGGAAATTCAACTAATTCAAATAATAGCAGGGTAATCAACAACAGACAATGTGTGGTATTAGCAACATTAAATAATTAGCAACATTAAATAATTGAAATATTTCGATTAAAAGTGGATGTTTTACATGTCATATTCTGTGATGGTATCATAGTGAGTCTGTAAGAACAATCTCCCAGCTCGTGGTGAGGGCTGTGTAACGCTAATAGCTCTTCTCCCATGTGGACCCGGGGTAGAATAGGTCTTCACATCCCTTTGCTGGTCGTAACAAGGCGAACGCATTGGGCAACCTGTTTGACATGGGTTGCGTCCCTGTCGGTTTTGGACGGGATTCTGGTGGTTGATGTCGGTGGTTCCAGTAATTGTGTTTCTTTGCCCAAAGCACTACTTACCGGTGGTATGATAGGCCCGATTCTATCAATTGGCAGTTCACGCCAAGCCATGTATATTTTTGTCCAGTCGTGGCAAAGAAAACCTGTAATTTGTAAATGCATAATGTATCTTCATGCAATTTGACTAGGGTCGTATGCTCAGAAGGCTCTGTTGTGGACAAATAATCATTTTTTTCTGGTAACATGTAAATAAACTCAAGCGTCACGGTACATTGGGAAATCTACAGGGACACAACTCGTCAATTCGTGCAACACAATGAAGTAAGACTTGGGAGCTGATGCATAGAAAGACCACCATCATCTGGCCCATAGCTCTCTTATGATCTCGATGGCCATAAACTATATCAGTAGCTTATAGACGATGAGGGTTGGACCACTGCCATCAATAAAACATATGTTCATCGTCCGCACTCTTGTACACACAATACCAACAATTTCCCGAAGCTGTTGCGTCCTACCGATTTCACCATGCACCTTCCCCTTCACGGATAATAGAAACTAGTACAAATAGTTATTAATGTTACATTTCCATTAAAATCAAGAACGCTATTGATCAGTAGGGAACAGCAATAACATTTACGCCACTGATAAGTTCTATGTTGTTTATTTTGTTTGTTTAACGCAGCACTCAGCATTATTCCGGGGCGGGGATCTGTAAATAATATAGTCTGGGCCAGACAACCCAGGGATATTTATAAACCAAGTCAGCGAGTCTGACCATCCGAGGACCATTCTTAGGACAAGCATAGGCTGCTCAAAACCAATTCCAACCCGGATCGCCACTGATAATCTACCAAATTATCTGTCACACCGGTTCGGGCCACGACCATCAATTTGGGACGGAGAGAATGGGAAAATGGCATCGATACAAGGGGCCTATCTTGGACTCTAATTACGCTTATGTAATCGACAGTTTAAAATAGATCGTTTTGACTGTCCGAATGCCAGCTTGAAAGATTTGTTTTATAAAAATACCAAATGTGTGTGGGCATGCAGCTTTGGGTGTGGCATGCACAGTCGTGTGAGGACCCATTCTTCCATCTGTCAAGGCGACGTTATGGTCAATGTGTTGTTCCTGCGCCATCAACCCTTCCTCTCCCGCCACGGGGACCCAGCCCACGACAAACAGGCTTCCTAATTCGATACGGTCTTCCGACCTACAGGGTCCCAACTGGTTATCTCAACAGAAATGTCCCCATACCCGTCCACAGACAACATGCAGTGACGTTCTGGTCGTTATTGCCATCCCACCCTATATTATTACAGATATGCTTTATTGCCTTCCGCATGACGTTCGTTGGGCACCTTGACGTTCATTGGGCACCCGTGAACGACTATCCACAGAATCCAGCATGAATCTGGTCTCATGTACATTAATTAATACCATCGTTGATTGCTAGAATTTCTACGCTATTTGTCTCGTCATTACTTTGCACTGCAAAGACCTGCCAAAACAAAACAGCAATTTGATAACTTGATTTGGCTCAAAACACGTAGGTTTCAGCGAGTATTTTACATTACTTCGCAAAAAGGCGACTCTTGGTGCGGTAGCATCATAAGTTCACGACAACATATTGTTTGTTACAGCTTCTTTCTACAGGCTTGACATTTTGTACCGATTGATTTAAATAATGGTTACCATTTAAGGTTTTTTTTTCAGTTCTTGGTCAAGTCATTTCAACTTTTGTTACTACACATGGATGACGCCAATCTTAGTTATACTTGCAGAACCTTTACAATATATGTTTTGTTGACTGACAGGCAGAATCCATTCTCTTAGCCATTAATTACACCAGTTCGATATATAGAGAATACTACACGAGGTCTCATTACATACGAATTATACGAATCGAGTGTCCTTCCTATGGTATCTGACCGAGCGAAAGCGAGGTCAGATAACATAGGAAGGTCACGAGTTTCGTATAATTCGTATGTAATGAGACCGAGTGTGGTATTTTATTTATTACCCACGTCTTACATGCATTAAATTGACAAAATAGCATATTTTTGTTATGTTTTTGGTTTTAAACCGAAACCGGTTTCATAAAGAGGTTGCGGAAGAGTTTTGTACTGTAGTGCAATATTTGCATGACGTCACAGTGTAATGACGTCACTGCCTTGGTAACCGACGTCCCGATGCATGTCAGTTGTCATCGCCTCATACAGCCTCCTACAGCAAACTACTCCGTAGCACCTCGTTTCTTGGTTTCCAGTTGCTTCATTCGGCTAACATCACTGGTGGAAACATTGCGTTTATGTTTTTCGACGGATATAATGTCTCAGTTCGACTCACAATAAAACAGCGACACGGCAAAGTTCGCAATGTTTACATTCCCACAATGCATTTAAGTTGTAGAATGAATGAATTCACGTGTTTGTTATGAATGAAGAAATAGTTACGTCTGAATATGACCTAATTGAGACGTCATCGGTTATCCAATCAAATCGTTAGAATCTCAGGTCAAGTCGTTACGACATAGGTCAACGCGATAAGACACTCGTGTGACGTACGAGATTAGTATGCAACTACCAATACGTTGACCTCGTGGGGAATAAATGTT